CTGTGCTTATGACCCATCACCGAACGTACGAGCAGTACACTGTCCGATGTGTGGCGCCATTACCAACTAATAGTTTGGACGTCCCACCGCGAGAACGATTAAAGGCCCTTTTCAGGGCCACCCACAAATTGATTTAAAGGCATTTTTCCCAATATTGTTTTTGTCTATGGCAAAGGTCAAATGATTATGCACTTTTTAATGTCGAATGCATTTCGATATACCTTAGATATTAATAATCGATAAGCGATTATCGCTCATGTATTCGTAAACTTGTTTCCAATGTATAATACATATAAAGGTTAAGAAAGCAGACAAGATTAAGTCATTTTATGAACACTTATCTAATAATTTTAGAAGTAAAATAATGTGATTACCGTTCATGTCTTAGTAACATATTTGTAAACTATCTATTACTAGTACATTGTAATAGGAATATTTTAAAATAGTGAAAATCGTTATTTTGTCGTTAGGTGAATAAATTTATTAGTGAATATAATAAGATAGTTACAAAGATGAATGTGATTAATGCTCATAGAGAAGTAAACAAAATTGAGAAAAATATCTTCCTTATGAATAAGATACTGACATGATAAAACAAGTTGAAGCCGTCATCACTGAAATTAGTAATCCGATTAAAAGGTCATATAAAAAGTGTTAAAAGAAATGAGAATATTAACCGTTTCATGAATACAAAATGCAAGAATTTCATATTCCAGTTTTATTTTAATAGTACCTGAAACCAGAACTAAGCGTACGTATGAATTACGTCCGATCTTCATTGTTATTCATAACCACTGATTATATCAACGTATTCATTTGCACACTCATATTACTATTAATTACTGGTACAATCACACTATACAGTTATAAGTCCATAATTTCCATATTTTATAAAGGCCAAAAATATGTCATGGCATTAATGAATTTGACAATGTACTGTATTAATAATGGTGAACGTTTACATCTGTTACGACATATATATATATATATATATATATATATATATATATATATATATATATATATATATACAAATTGTAACATTTGCAAATTAGAAAGGTCATTCAATAAAGGTCTGGATTATTTGCAGTACAGTGTTCAGTCACAATAAGTGGAAGAGCATTATAGGAAAATTTAAAATGCAAAGAATTTCGTGTCAATGAAATGCACAGTAGGAGAATTGAATCTTGTCAATTGACATAATAATAATAATAATAATAATAATAATAATAATAATAATAATAATAATAATAATAATAAGGAAAATACATAATAATAGCATTGTAAATGTTCATTGATATTTATACGTTTAAAGTCGATAGATATTTGTTGAGTCAGTCAGACGACGTTGGCTTGTTCATTTACACTTCATGTGACTGATATTTCAAATGCTTGTCAAAAATGGTTACATTCATAATGTCTAGATAATTCAGGTTTCATATTACGGCGGTTAACAATATTCACACATGGCTGATTAAACACACATTAGTTTTTATTACGACCCAAAAATTAATTTTAAAATACAGAACTACAAATAATTTACAAGTGAACACAATAAACCGTTTCAATGGACTTTTACAAATTAACCACATTTAAATCTAACGTTGTCTAATTATCATTATGAATGAACATTTACAAAATAATCGTTTACTAAATATTAAGTGTCTATTTCGGTTAAATTTATTACTACATTCATATACTGTCAAAGTCAGTTCATTAAATCATGGTCTATGATTGCTTCACCTGAATTATACATATTTCAACCAGTAAGTTGCCATAATGATTTATTGATATGTTGATTTCTTTTTCCTATGAACACACCGTGTCTTACAAAAAAAACCTATGCACACACTTTAGTGATAATTTGTTTATTAATTTGGTATTAAAGATTTGACTACCGACCTTACTCAGTAATCACTATGATCAAATATTCAAACCGGTTTTCAGTTGCTTTTTTCCAAAAACTTTCTTTTTATGTGATATATATAAGTACTCGTTACATTAAAATTGTTGATCGGAAATCAAAAATTTATCCCAATACGCATTCAGTAACAGTAGGATTGCACTTAAGTTGGTGTTTTTTTCTATAAATGTCTAAATTTCTTACAAGACTTACATTACACAAAAAGATTTATTCATTATCGTTAAATTTCAAATGTAAAAATCAAAATTCTGACATCCAATCACAGCTTTAGATACGATTTCACTTTCAACTAATCAGATTACAAAGATGAACAGTTTACGACCAATTACAAAATTATTAAAGGTGACAAAATGTTCATTCATTATCACTTGAGCACACACCTGCAAAACAAGTACACCAATCACCGATCGCTAAATTTTTCTTTGACACCATACATTTTTTTAGAAATGGGGGGTAGGGAATCTGAGCCACAATTGATATAGTAGACGTTTGTCTACTGTACGATTTCCTAATAAGTTTGTCATGTGGCGTTTTAACTGTGACGGTGTATTGTCACCTAGCTCCACGTTGGCTAAAAGTTGATCAATTGTCTGTTGGTCGGTGAGAGATGTGACACGAATGACCTCTCTTTTTAGACAATCGAATGGTGAGTCAGGATCCGGCTTAAAAATGACATCCGGCACTTGTTCAATGACGTCATCTGGCAGCAGTGAATTTGCATAACTAAATTTCGTACTCTGGTTTGTGATTTTGTTTGCAACAAAAAAGCTTTCCAAACGAGCAAACCAGAGTTCAGCCTTTCGTGGATTAAAAATGGGTAAAGGTACAGAGATGGCACCCACGGAAATAGATTTAGATGAAAGGCTTAACGAATTATCAAGTGCCATGATACGAAAAAGCAATAGTAATAATAAGCTGAGGATTGTAATATACAATATGAAGAGAAATCAAAAACAACAACAACAACAAATATATATAAGACTCACCAAAAAGAAAAACTGTCACTTTTGGTATATGTATGAGAATATACAGTAATAATTCCAAAGGAACAATGTTATGGATGGATTTATTATGACTGTTAATGAATTGTTAATAATTGTAATAGTAATTCCAATGTGAAGTTCTTTAAGATACGCTTGGAGAGTATGCAGCAGAATTCGTAGAGGAATGGTGTGTGTTCTAAAAGCGGTTCACCAATATGTTGAGGCGGCAGCTAACCAATATGTTAAGGGTAATGTCCTTAATATCTGACTCCAAATAATGATATTCCGTAACTGAGTATTTAAGGTAGGCTTAATCTCCTAGTAGAATTACGGATTCACTCGAGATTATTAAGAAGCCTGAACACCAGTTATGGAGATAGTTTATTATTAATGAATAATGATAATCCACAAGCGTATTGTGAGCAAGCACACGATGGGAACAGAGAGAGTGTGAGTTTGTTAAAAATCCATATATATTTGAGGGTTAATAGGGTGTAGATAAATTATCGATTATCTGCACGTTGAAACCAATAGGAAAATAGTTTAAAAGTTAATGTACAGACATGCATTCGATCATACACACCGAAATTAACATAGTGAATTAAGAGTCTAAGTTACAATGAATAGACAAATGATACAGTGGCCAAATGGGCTTGCCACAAGGTCGAATTTCTAAGGATAGAGTGGTATATATATGAATGAGTATTTGTGCATTTGATTCGGTATCTCAATACACTTTCTTACTCCCGATTGTGTTCTCACTCAAGCGATCAGTTGGATTTTAGCGCTTAGCACACTGTGTATCAGAATCATATTTCGGACACTGCCTATACGAACATAGTTTACTAAGTGATATTTTGAGAATAAATTGCAACGAATACCATCTTTATGATTATTAATGTTCGTATATAATCAAAGCAATATTTCTAAACTATAAAGTTATCTGTTTATACTAAAAGCAGTGTAGGGTGGTAGAATTATTTGGCCAGTAATGATAAGTTTTGCTTAAACTTAATACAACGATTGTAACAAAATTAATCCTGGCATTTATTCTCATTTCAATTAAACTAGTTATCCACTTGTACGGTTCTGAGATGGAACATTATTTCCTCTAAATCCGAAGATCTCAGAAACCAATTTGAGGATGTTTTCTTACTTTTCCATGACAAAATATTCGTTGGACCCTCTTCGTCCACTAGTCCTTCTTATCATCAGAAAAATATTTGGTACTTCGGAAATGTACGGCTTTCTATGGACAAAACTAACTTAACCATCTGCTTATAAATTATTCTCGAATGTTCCAATGTAGTCTCCAGAATAACAGTGTACTTTTATACTCCAGCTGCTACGCACCCATGAGCTCAACAGTGTTATATCTTTACCTCAAGTTAATAAATATAATAAGGCTGGAGTATCTGTAACAGCAGTATCCCAAGAAGTATGTCAAATGTTAACGACTCTCGACCTTCATTCATTTTTTAATTTGTTGTTTGCACGCTACTTTGTAATTGTAAGTAGTCTAAATTATAAGCTGAGCATTTCTAGACCTGCGCGAGCATGTGATATTCTGTTGCAACAGACTTTCTGTCCCCATCCATCTATAAATTTTACTTTGTATTCCACCAGTTAATCAACTATTCTAGCTGGACATTCTATTGCTCTCAACTTGAAAAACTTTGTTTACTTTGGACACGTTCCCCATTCAACAAACAGTTTTTATTGTAATCGCACTAAATTCTGATATTCTCATTGGAAAGTCATATGATGTTTTCTCACTAAAACTAGAACACTACGACAGAAAGTTAGATTGTTCACTGAGTAACTTTTATTGTTCATAATCTTAGTGCTCTTGAGACATACTTTATCCCTTAGTTTCATGACTCTTATGTGCAATTCGGTATTTTGGTTGCTTTTATTCATAGTAGGCAAATTTAAATACAATATATGGATAGGGTATATATACCAGAAAAATTGCAGCCTACTTTGAGAGATCGACTAAGCGAGATTTAAAAAGAACCCTTATAAATTCTAGAAATAACACTAACTAGTGTAAATATTCACCATGGCAGAACAAGTATCAAACATATCATTGACATTTATTAAAGTTATTTCTCTATTTTTTTCTCTTTTACTCAAAACATACTCTTAGTAAACAAAGTCTGTTCTTTTAAATCACAACTGAGGTAGACATTGACTCCATTTGTACAACTGTTCTGCTTCTTCTAGTTTATCAGACATTTCATCCAAATATTCATGAGCAAGCAGATCGGTTTTTTTATTGAGTGAGTTCTGTATACACTATTTAAAAAAACATATATAGATATAAATTTCTTATGTAAAGGTCGACGAATGTGTAGGATTACATGATCCCTACTACTAATATTAAATATGATAATACGAACATAACCTTACTGAATCTAATTAATAAATCATCCTTTAAACGAATAATAAGCGACTTTAGATCTTACAAATTGTTAAGATGTTTTATCGCCGATATGAATCAACATAAAACTTTAGGCAAACAAATAAAAAGTAAGTGCTGTTACATAGATCGCGGTCCCTTGAAACCTAGAATTTGATGTTCAACCTTCCAATATAATATGTTTTGTCATACATGTTTGCCAACAATCGTTTCAGCATCTCTTAATAATACTATGCATTCTTTTTTAACGTTACTTCCTGTAAGAAACATTATTGCGTTACCACCATAACCAGGCAATCCATAAATACAGAGTGCTTAAGTGATCGAAAAAAAGAAATATCTCTATTGAAATACTGAATAACTTGACATGGTTGTTAATAGGTACAATTCGCTGTATACGTGCTTTAAATCTGAGTTGATATGCACACAAAAGTTTGAGAAGACACCTTTCTGACACATGTCTTCATTAGTTACAACTCTGAACAGAAATAGGTTTAAAACTTATAAATAAACATTGATTTCATGAAGTAATAATTACAGGAGTAACTAAGTCGCGAATATGGCTTCCTAAATGTTCAGTTGATAAATGATCACGAGTTCATTCAAATACTGGCTGTAAACTAATTCAATAGTTTGCTGAATTTTACGAGTTTGCTTAAAAACAAAGGTGAGATCACTTTTATATAGCTAATTATAATAAATAAATTATCATTTTAGTAACAAATGGCCCTAGTGAATACTTTACAAAACTGAATTATTCTAGTATCGGAGAAAATATGGCACTGAATACTACCCTAACAATATTTGTGAAGAATCTCAGAGAACAATCAATTATTGTCAATTCGTATTGTGTTGGGGCACAAGAATTGAATTTTCCCACACTTTACGCAGATAATGAGACAGAAACTAAGTAAGAATAGATCCGAATATATGTAAATACGTTCATCAAACATTAAATATCAGACTGTCGGAGTAAACTAATAACAATGAAACTGAATACAATTTCAATTAACTTACATTCATATTTCTCGGGACTTTACTGTAACTATTAAAATAATTCATCTGTTTTTGGGTTTTTTTTCTGTGTTGCTCTAATTTATTCTTTGCCTTACCACATTGAACCAATTTTTGTTTCATTTGAAGCAGTTTGTATCGTGACATCGGACCTAATACTTCAGGCTGTACTGTTGTAGTAAGCAAGTTGATAATACGCTTCAAATTTGGCTTGCAGTTCAGTGATGTTAATTCAAGTACATCAGATAAATAATCCAACCTTTCGACAACTAAACATATAAAAATGCAAAACTGTTTTGAAAATTAGAAATAGTTCTAACAAACATAAATACCCCTCCAAGAAAATCTTGCTTTTCTGATGTAATTCTTAATAACTCACAAAATTGACTGCCTTTTCGATGTCAAGAAAAAGGTTTTTATGGGAAAGTTTGCTCTCAAAATGAAGCAGGCAAAAGGGTGCATATCAATGATATCGATTCTGTCATACAATAAAAAAATGTTACTAACATATAAAATAATTGAACATAGGAGTAACAATGTCTCTTAAACCTTCCTTTCGAGATTTTCGCGAACCCATTATTTTTTAAATTAACATTCATGAAAATTTTTCTTCGATACAGAGGTCATTGGTACTTCTTGAGTTTTAACTTACTTATTTTTAACACTAAATCTTGATGAACAACCACATTCGATACACATTTTCATAGATCTAATTCTTTATATTTGACATAAAACTGCAAACTCATACAGTGAGAGATATAATAAAGTAACCCTTTGTACTACTATTTTAGTGAACAAGAATTTAGGTACGTTAAATAGTTTTACTGTTTTACATCAGATCACACAGTGCCTTTGTAAAACATAAAAATCATACATTGAATACATCATTTGCAGGTATTCTTTGAGTTGTCTTTTACATATTTTATCATAATTCCGATCCTGCTTTTATTCTGATTGCTGTTTGTTTTCCTTCTATTTATTTCATTCTTGTGTTAATAAACAATTCGATTCCATCTCCTACTACATACTACCTATTCATGTCCGTATAAGTAGCGCATATCGCACTATAAATTGAGTTTAGCAAGTTTCATAGTCAGTTACCCATCATTGGTCGTTTATAAACAGATATTTATTGTCTCAAAACGTTTTCTTGATATTTTATCATCGAGAAAGTAGAAACCGAATTCACTTTCAGCTTTACCGCTGGTCGACGCTTGTTGGTAGGTAATTTTTATGCAGGTGAAAATGTTTGGTAGACATCTTTAACTAATTTTTTCCCAAAGTGGACATGAGAAATCTGCCAGTAATAGATTAATAACAAGTTCCTTATATATGTAATCCATTTGTCTATGGGTCATTCTGTTAAGTTTAAACTATACATTGCACGGAAATAATGGTTTCCTTAAATGGGACAATAGTTGGTCATATAGACCAGGAATTTTTAACCCTGTTGGTTTAAATACATTTGCAAATCGGATGGTAATTTCCGTTCTCCCAATTAGTGCACTTAGATGCCTTTCAGTCATTTCAGTCTTACTTTTGCTCGGTATATTAAAACAACTTGCTGTAATCTTATAAAAGATAAATTACGGAATGTAGTTTGTTGCTTTTATATTTATTCGCCACTATAATGAAGTGATTTATTTTGGCGTCAAAGAACACTAATTTATTTTATGTGCAATCGTACCTTTACTGCTGTTAACTAGTAGTAATTTAGTGCGCTATTTACATTTCCTGTCACTTGCAAGTGTACTCAGAACTCAATCAAATCATTTCATGTCACATGGTTACTAGGTCTGAATTATGTAAGTGGTTTTTAGCCCAATAGAGATAAAGACATTAACATTTTTTGTCTACCTGAGATAAAATTGAAACAAACCTTTACCATCCAAATGACGCCAGTGATTCTGATGCCCTCCGTAGGCAGCCGGAAGTTCTTCAATGAAACGCTTTTACACAAATAAATATGGAGAATAATATACTTTAAGTTAAGCACTAACATACATCATCAATGATTCTATCAAGATATCTGTAACTTCATGTACATCTTGGAGCAGAAATATCAAAGTAAATTCATTTCAAATATTCTTCCAGCATGTTAATGTGAATCGACTGAACGACATAGAATTTTTTATTTAATAACCAACATAGCATCGTGATAAAGAAATAACAAGAAAATCATTCCCTAGTTACGATCAGAAAACATTTTAAACCAACTAGTTTATTCGCTTCAAAAAGAGTCAATCGTCAGCCGTCTATCAAATGAGGACTTTAAGAAAATAACAATAAAAAGTGAAAGCATATTTCTTTATTTACCATATTTTGGAAACCATTTTGAACAGCAACAAGGGTAAATTTACAATAGGAATAAGCAAAGCACTTACTGTTATTAGACTAGATACGTTGGTGAAAAATCAAATCCCGAAAAATAATCATACAGAATGGAGATACAGTTAATTTACCCGGTTTTGAGATTTAAGTCCTAAAACGACATTCCCAATAAGCTTGAACACATAATTTATTTTAATGACTGTGGAAAAATACATAGTAATTCAAAAGTCTACTGCACAGTGTTACGTCATAATTCCTTGCACGGTGTAACCAATATCGTTTACAAAGGTCGCTTTTATTCACTAAAATGCGTTTGAATACTTAAGTTTAAAATACATTCATATCAACTTCCTCTGAAACCTTCTCGTTTAAAGGAAGAATACTCAGAGAGTAAAAGAAACATTTTGACTATATCTTATAAACCCACCATTATTGTTTGCTTTGATTGGCTTATATGTTACTCGTACAGCAACCCATAACAACAGTCTGCTTGTTAGTACAATATTCAGAGACTTAGTCAGTCATTTGATGACTTGTCTAATGTAGGGCTTTTGTGCAGAATGACAGGTGTTTGAAAGCTGTGGTCAGTTAACAGAGACTTCAAATGCTGTGTCCATTATACGTTTTAGAATATACACTGCATCTATGGATCACATCGTCAAAACAATAAACTCAAGCAATTAGTACATATTCTATTACGAATGGTAACACACTTAGTCGAGTTTAAAATGTGAGTAGGAAGTTAGTTCTACGTCTTAAAAATTTGTGAGACAACGCGCAATTATAATAATTAAATCGTATCAAAGAATGAAAAGTGATTGTGTACTGACAATCTTTATTTTTAGTCATTATTCCCAAGCTCCTAACTTTGGGGAAATTTTGGGGTTCTTGTGCCATTTCCCTAAAATTTACTACAGCGGCTTCCCCAAAATAGGTCAAATTTTCCCCAAAATCGGAAGCTTGGGTAAGAACCTTAACTACTTTACCTTTCGTGTAATTAGAACATCTGAAAGACACCTCTCTTTCATAAAATGAGGTTGGAAATAAGCACTTGAATCTTCAAACACTAGATCGAGGTATTTTCTTCTACCGACTGATTGCACGACACACTTCGTAATCTGAACACGTGAAACGTTTTACGTAATCTTACATTGTTTGCATTAAATAAACTCACAGGAGAAATATTAGTAAATGAACAAGAAATATTCTTCACATTTACTTTGAAACATATGACCGGGGGAAATTTTACCCCATCCAACCAAAATTTTCGAAGTAATAATAATACTATTAGTTACCTAAATAAAATAGCCGTGTCACATAATCTATCTGAGATTAAAATTCGGTAGTCCTCAGGTAAAAGTATTTTAAGGAGATGTTTTTTTGGCAGGTTTTCCTAGAACTTAATGTAAAAGATGTTTACAAACCAAGATTTTTATTGCAAATTTAAAGATCTTAAATATCTGTTTGTTGTGATAAGAGAACCATGCTTTTTGAATGATTGTCGCACAGTGTTGTCGGTTGTCCATTAATTGAAACTACGCTAGCAACTAAGTCCACTAAGGTCGAGATTTTGAGAAATACAAACATAAGGAACGCCACAATGTTTCGATAATATAATCAAAGTTGAAAAAATGAAAAAAATCTGTTTGTATAAAAGTTTTGCTGTTAATCACGTTTCTATAATTTTAATACTACAAACATTGTTATTAACCTCTTGAACTTGACAGGGATCGGTGAACTGTTCGATATTCACTGACCCGACTGTCAAAAGATTTGTCTGGGGTTATGTGACATTTCGCTGACACTACAATGTAGTGCATACGAAATTTTGAGGTATCAATTTCAGATTTCAGTTCTCCGTTTATTGTCATCAGACATCTGTGTTGTTACTGACCGTAATATACCGCCTAGGAATTTTCTAACTAATAGAAAGAACCATTTGCCTTCGTTTGAGAAGTTCGTCATATCAGTTACCGAAATCAGCTTGCCTCTATTGATCTATATCAGTCCTTCCGATTCTCTGCTCTTTTTTGCACCATAAATTTGATGTGTAGAATCGAAATCACAAAAACTTTACAGATTGAGTCAAGCCTTTAAACAAACACATCTGGACACGTTATAGAAGGTAGGCACATTGCATCGTCTTCAGCAGATAGGACAAGTGATTCAGAACCTGAGTACAAATTCAACACTGTACTTCGTGAAGCACATTACAAAGTCCATCAAGAACTTAACACCTAGATCACAAGTTTTTTTTCCACATGTCAAGCCTACTTAAAATGCGTTCCCATCAGGCATGGCTATAGCCCCCTCGGTTGACAGCTGTAAGGAGAGACATGACAACACCCTCCTACCCGTAAACCTAAATAAACTGACTAGTCCTTTATTGAGACTGCAAACGAGTGGTTAGGTTACTTTTACTGAACTTTGTGAAGGACATGATATCGTAGCAGTAAATAAATCCCCAAAACAAATAGCTCTGTAAGTTTTCGACATTGGATGCTGACCACCTTAGTTTTTATGGACTCACCTAGGTGAAGGCGCTCGGAACGCTGTGCACAACATCCCCTGCAATCACTAGCCAGATTAGATCAGACTATCCTCGATATATTGATAGCCTATCAAATTTATCTTCGAACCTCCTCGCTTCTGTCTTTTGATTTCACTTGGTGGGTACGCTTCATATTAGAAGGTTTTACTGCGTAAAGCGTTGTCGAACTCCGAATACCTGTGGCATCTTAAGTGGTGAACCCGACGTGATCTTGTACACCAAATCGTAAACTATGAGTCTGTTCCTTTTTAAGATTCTGTAAATCATTGCCTTATTTTAATTTTTTATACATTGTGATATTTATTCCGTGTTTTTGGATATATATTTTGTCATGCGTTTATTCTCGCACTTGATATTTCGCCATGACCGAACAGACACCCAGTGTACTTAAGTTAAAGATTATGTTTCCACCTTCGTTTCAACTAATGCCCTTCTGCCCAAATAACATCGAAGCCTGGTTCTGCTACGCAGAAGCTGACTTCTATGAACACGACGTGATCGACGCACGTGCACAATTCCTCACAGTAGTCAAGACACTACCATGCGAATTCAGCAGGCACACAACATCTGGAATGTTTACTAGTGATGTTTCAGAACCCTACGAAACACATAAAAGCAGAGATTTAACCCATAGACAAAGGTTAGACCAACTTCTTAATAACATCAACCTGCAACGCAGTTCTGCGGCAGACATGTTGCAAAGAACGAGAGAGATTATCGGCCAAAGAACATTCAATGATGGCCTATTCAAACAACTTTTCTTATCCAAACTACCTCAACAGGTGCCAGCTGTGCTGGTCTTGTTTTAAAATAACGCCGTAGACGAGCTGGTTTCATCTGCCGATCTCATCCTTGAAATCATGAAATCTTCTAATGCAGAGGTCTTTTCAGCCAAAGAAAAACCTCAAACGACCCAGAGTGACATCACGGAACTATGTCATTCGCCGGCACGTTATCTGCGATTTCGTTATGGCCGTAAACGGTCACATGCCGCGCGACGAAGCACGTCACGTAGGAGATCTGTCTTCAGACCACGAGAGACGAATAACCTCAACTGGTGCTGGGATCATAACCAGTAAGAAAGTCTTCCAGAAATTTCAGGAAACCCGGCAACTTTTCGAACTCAAAATCGGCTGACACGAAAAACAATTCGGGAAATTTACAAGGCGGCATGCGTTAACAGCAACCATCGCCAGCGAACATAGCCATATGTTATACGTCACAGATGTTATAACCAAATTTCTCTACCTCGTCAATACTGGCGCAGATGTAAGCGTTCTTCAAGCGAATTCTGACGACCGGTTTCACGAATAGGTTTTAAACCTACGGGCGGCAAACAGAAAGCCTATCGCTACGTATGGCAAAAAGTACGTTTACATTAACGTGAGTTTACGCAAACACATCCACTGTATCTTTGTTGTCGCAGATGTTTCTATGCCAATCATCGGTATAGACCTTCTACCACACCATAATCTACTTATCGATACGCGCAAACGGAGGCTAGTAGACGGAAACACCAACTTATCTGTATGCGTACTTCATTTTCCGGTTGCAGATTATCTCCAGTCACAATTAAGCATACGATAGGCCCATTCTCTCAACCATTACTCGATAAGTATTCTGGGATATACCGACCACAACTGACATTGCCTCGTGTAACCAGCAATGTTACACATCACATCACGACTACCGGACCACCTGTATTCTCTAAAGCGCGCAGACTGGCTCCCGAAAAGCTGAGGTTGTCTAAAAACGAATTCGAAAAGAAGAGCAATGATTGGCGTACATCTGGTGACTACCGGTGATTGAATGCTAAAACCGTTCTCCATCGTTACCCGTCGCCTCACATTCACGACATGACAGCTACCTTGAAAGGTTCAACTGTCTTTTCGAAAATCGACTTGGTTAAAGCGTATAACCGAGTCCCCATGGCTGCTGACGATACCCTGAAAACCACTATCATAACCCCTTTTGGCCTGTACGAATTTTCGCGAATGCTTTTCGGTCTAAGAAACGCTGCTCAAACATTCCAAAGGTTCATAGCTGACGTTTTTCGAGGTCTCAACTTCGTACATGAGTATGTTGATGACTGCTTGATAGCACGTCCGAACAGAGAATCCCATCTCCAGCATCTGGATCTTGTGTTCGAACGACAACAAAAGCATGGCATCACTGTAAACATTCAAAAATGCCAAATTGGAACTGACTCCTTAGATATCCTGGGACACACTATTGATGCTCAAGGCATCCGAGCTCCTAGAAGCAAAGTGGAGGCCATTCTGGATTACACAGAACCGACCACCAATAAGCAATTACGCACATTAAACGGCCTTGTAATTTTCTATATACGATTCATACCAAAATGTGAGTCAATTATGAATTCGCTAACCGAGCAACCCCGTGGAAATGCGAAATCCATCAGTCTGGACGACACAAAGTCAAGCATTCACCGCATATAAGGAACTCATAGAAAAGGCAAACATGCTCGCACACAAAGACACTGAAGCGCCCATTAGTTTCGCAGTAAACATGTAGTGACTTATAGAATTAACCACACAATCATCGAAGCTGAACACGAAACTATTCAGAAAATACATATTCAATATTTAACGCGGATAAATACCTAACGATGGTGAAGGCGGGAAAATGGAACTGAATTAATTGGAGTTGATCGAACGTCATGGCTCGGGCTTGCGGGCGTGGTACTTGTAGAGTGTTAACTTATATCGAGACGGTGAAGAAGATTTGTAGATCAGGTGGATGGTTTTGGTGGAGTTTTTTTCTCTGAGCTGGATGGTTTGGTTGTGGAGCTTTCATCGTTCTTCTGAACGACATCATCAGCACAAACTTCAGATAGAAGTGAAGTGTTCGAATTTATCCATATGTGTTTCACAGCTTGTTCTGCGCACCTCGATGTCGATTGGTTCTTGTTGACCTTAAATTTATCATTGTTTACTTCTTTGTTTTGGTCGTGTCTCCCATCGGTTTGATTTTTGTTCCTATATTTATGCATGATTTTCTTGATTGGTTGATAAATTGGATTGATTTCAATATGTTTGTTGATTGCTGATTGACCTGAGTGCCAAGCTTCTAAAAATTCTCTGGTGTTTTTGGAGTTTCCTCTGTCTAACATTTCTACATTTTCCCAATCGAATGAATGTCCGTAGTTATCCACGTGTATTGATATAAGTGAAGAGATATCATGGCGTTTGACTGCTAATTGATGTTCATGTAGGCGTAGGTGGACGGGGCGTCCGCTTTGTCCGATGTAGTGTTTGTCGCAGTTGGTACAATTTATTTTGTAGATGATGTTTGATTTGTTTTCCTTTGTTATTTCATCTTTTGGTTTGTATAGGATTGATTGTAATGATTCTGTTGGTTTGTGTGCCACACCTATCCCGAAGGTTTTCAGCAGTCTCGTTGCGGTTTCTGATATTCCTTATATGTACGGTAGAGTGATCCTTTTGTTGATTTTTGTGCTTGACTTGGGTTCTGACGCTGTGCGCCGTCGGTGCTTTTTGATGAAGTTGATCGGGTAGCCGTTCTTTTGAAATATGTCCTTCAGGTATTTCTCTTCATTTTTTCGTGCTGCCAATGTGCTGCAGTGTGTCCTCGCCCTCTTGAACAATGTGTGTACGCAGTTGATTTTGTGAGCTCTTGGGTTGTTGCTGTTGTAATTGAGGATTCGATCTGTATGGGTCGGTTTCCTATATACTTGAGTTTCCAGTTTTCCTGTTTCAGTTCTAGTGATCAATATATCCAAAAATGCTAGTTGGTTGTTTGACTCCTGTTCCATTGTAAACTTGATGTCGTTGAAAACGTTGTTGATCAGTTTGTATGTGTTTTCCAGTTCATCCTTTTTGACGATGACAAAGGTGTCGTCTACGTAGCGAATCCAAATTTTTGGCTTGATCACTGATAATATCGTGGCTTCTAGTCTTTGCATCACTGCCTCTGCGATCAGTCCTGATATTGGTGATC